ACCAGACGTGGGTCGGTGGGAGGGTGCTCAGAAGGTTATAGGGGTTGGGCACCGTGGGGTGTATGTCCTCCACCCGCTTATTGACCTCTCTCAAGTCCTGGACCGGCCTGTAGTCCCCTGTCCCCGGTTTCTTAACAGGCAAGAGAGGGGTGTTCCAAGGGGACTGGCAGGGCTTTAGCACCCCTTGGTCTAGGAGCCTTCGAATATGGGGCTTGATCCCCTCATGAGCTTCCCGTGACATTGGGTATTGTCTAATTGAAACGGGAGTCACGGAGGCCTTTAGTGAGATCACCAGCGGTGGCTGATCGTGTGCCAGCCCCAAGCCTCCAGTCTCTGCCCAGGCCTGAGGAAACTCTCTCAGCCAGTTCTGTAGTTCCTCAGGTAATTTCTCCGGGGGTTCTGGTTCAAACAAACGGTATTCTTCTTCTAAACTGAGGGCAAGGATTTGTAGAGGGTCTCCTTTAGGACCCGTGACCCTCGGTCCCTTCTCATCAAAATAGATTTATGCCTTCAATTTGGTCAATAGGTCCCGTCCTAACAGCGGATGGGGGCATTCAGGTATGTGCAGAAAGGAGTGAGTTACTTGCCCTGATGCCAGTTGGACTTTTCTCTCGGCAGTCCAATAATACCTCTTGTTTCCAGTTGCCCCCTGCACCAGTGCAGAATGCCGGCTAAGAGGCACTCCGGCATGGGTTAGGACTGAATGTTCGGCACCAGTATCAACCAGGAAGGTCACGGGCTGCCCCCCGATCTTGAGGGTTATCCTAGGCTCAGGGGGGGGCTCCTGGCCTCGACTCCCCTAGTCTTCCAGACTAAGGAGGTCTACGGTCTTGGGCTTGGGCCGGCGGGGTCCTTGTGGCTTCTTGGGGCACTCTCGGGCCCAGTGTCCCTTCTCCTGACAGTAAGCACATTGATCTTTATCAAGGGGTGGCCTCCTTCGCTCTCCCGACCTATCTCCCTCTCTCCGCTGTCCCTGAGACACAACGGCGGCCAAAACCTTTTTCATCTCCCTATGCTGTTTCTTGTCCCTTTCCTCTTGTTTCTGCCATCTCCTTTCCTCTCGCTCCTCAGGAGTTTCTCTCTTATTGAACACTTTCTCTGCTTCCTTCAATAAGTCTGGCAACCCTAGCGCCTGTAAACCTTCCAGCCGCTGCAATTTGGTTCTGATATCTGAGCTAGACTGATAGATAAATGATAGGATGACACCTGGTGCTTGCCCTGGGTCTTCTGGATCATACGGAGTGTACATCCTATAAGCCTCCTCCAGCCTCTCTAAAAATGCAGCGGGTGTTTCTTCCTTTCCCTGTATCACATTCCTTACCTGAGCCAAATTGGTAGGCCTTCTGGCGGCCGCTCGGAGACCCGCTAAGAGCAACTGGCAATAGAGACGTAGATGCTCCCTACCTTCAGGTGTATTGAAGTCCCAGTCTGGGTGGGTCAAGGGAAAAGCTGCATCGATGATATCTGGGAGTTGGGTTGGCCTCCCGTCATCGCCCGGAACCTGCTTCCGGGCCTCCAGGAAAACTCTCTGCTTCTCCTCTACTGTTAAGAGGGTCTGCAGGAGCTGCTGACAGTCGTCCCAAGTCGGCCTGTGAGTCACTAGGATGGACTCAATTAGGCCGGTTAAGGCAACAGGATCCCTGGAGAAAGGGGGATTATGTTGATTCCAATTATAGAGGTCTGAGGCTGAAAAGGGCCAGTACTGCCACTGACGATTCGGCCCCTCTCTGAGCGGGAAGGCCCTGGACTCATTAGGGGGGCCATCCCGGCGGCCGTGGAGGCGGCCGGCAATGGGGGACGGGGCTGCGTCCTCTTCTTCAGCCCCGTGGGTCCTGCGAGTCGAGGTGACTTCCGGATCTGCCACGGGCACGGCCGGGGACGCCGCCACCGGGGCGGCGGCTGGGGCCGCTTCGGCCGGCTCTCCAGGTGGTCCGGCTCGATATGGTGGTGGGTCCTCCGTCAGGAGATCTATAAGGGGGGTATGGGGGTCTGGGGGAAGGACTGGAGGCTTAGGAGTCTCCTTGTGAGGGAGCACGGGGTAAAGGGAGGAGTCCGGGTTGGGGGGCGCAGAAGGCCCAGAGACTGGAGGGGGCTGCGGAAGGAAAGGCTTAACCCATGGAAATGGGTTCTCGACCAGTGATCTCCAGATGGCGATATATGGGACCTGGTCGGGATGCCCATAAGGGCTAGGGGCAAAAACCTTACCCTCCACCTGCGAAATAAGAGAGAGGTTAAAAGATCCCTCTCGCGGCCAGCCGACATTCATCATGACCCATTCGGCCTCGCAGAAGGTGATCCATTTCTTCTTCCTGACAATGTCACCTTCATTGTTTCCTCGGGCCTTAACATCGGACCAGTGGTCCTTGGTTAGGCTCAATGGGGTGGCGACAGCCTGTCCCATGGTGGTCTCTAAATAAAGAAGGGTTAAACACACAACGAGAAACAAACAGACAAGACAGACCACAGAATTTCGCGCTGCGCGGCTCCGGCGTAAAACCGAAAGCAAAAACTCAGATGGGGACGCGGAGTGTTTGAATTCTCCGTCCCCTGCCAGTACCACGTATCCTTCTGATGCGTGGGTGGCCCCGAAAAACCATGCCCCAGAGGGGACTTCCCGTGCCCCAGAGGGGACTTCCCGTGCCCCAGAGGGGACTTCAGATACCCGTGGAACGTCTTCCAGGGTTTCGGTGGGCGAAGTCCGAGCTCGTCAGCTCCTTCAGCCCCCACCAACTCAGAGCTGACTTTGGACGCCCGACGAACACGAAAGACAAGTAAACAGACTGAGACAATACAGACAGACAATGGCCGGCCAACTTACCTCCTGACAGTGGGTCGGTGGTCCCGAGACGAGGGTCTCCGATCCCGGACGAGCCCCCAAATGAAAGACCCCCGTTTGGAGTCTTCCCTCTGGAGAGACCCTCGCCCAGAGATCACACCGAGACCACAAGTCAGATGCAAACAGCAAGAGGCTTTATTCAGGAACACGGGTACCCGGGGCGATACAGTCCCTCCAGAGGCTGAAGAGACTGGCGCGCCGACCGGCTGGGGTGGAGGGTTTTTATAGGGTTGGGCAGCGGAAGGGCGGGTACAGAAGCAGGAAGCATAGTTTACAGGGTTCTGATTGGACGATTCATATGAGGCCAGGTTCAAACTCAGGACAGCTCGTGGTTTTTCCCCGAGCTCGACACGCCTGCTGACTTGGCTCTTATCCAGGGTACAAGTTGTTTTTCTGACCTTTAGTACCCTGTTCTGGGGCCGGGTGACCGACCGCAGATACCCTGTTTGTTCCTATGCCCATGAACTTTCCCCGTACTTTTCAGGCCTTGCTCAAAAATGGCGTTAGGCTAAGCAAGTATGCTGGGGCCCTTCAATGAGAGCAACTCCAGCAACTCTTTTTTTTTTTTTTTTTAAGATTGATTTATTTATTATGTACACAGAAGAGGATGCCAGACCTCATTATAGATGGTTGTGAGCCACCATGTGGGTGCTGGGAATTGAACTCAGGACCTCTGGAAGAGCAGTCGGTGCTCTTAACCTCTGAGCCATCTCTCCAGCAACTCTTAGTTCTCACGATTCTGCAGAAATCATAACAAACCCCGGCGCATCACTAAAAGCATCTGGAGCATGTAGTTTGCTCAAAGTAGGAAGAGGTTTTCCAAAGCGTCAAGGGACTTATGCCCAGGTCCGCCCGCCTCTGCCTCCTGAGTGCCGGGATTAAAGGCATGTGCCACCACACCAGGCTTCTCCACTCATCTTGAAATTCCCTTCCCCATCACAAATTCCTATTTCATGCAATTACTTCCAAAAATTTACTTTCAGGAGGATCACTGATCAGACATGCAGGTAAATATGTTTACTAGCAGCACAATTTCCAAAGTTGAGCATTGTGCAGACTTAACAGAAAAGACCTTGGCCCTGCTCAATTCAGAGGCAGGTTATGAAAGATATTCTGGGGATGATCAGGACATTCCTTTTCCTACAGTCATAGAGATAACACCCAACCTAGCATACCAACATTAGTTAGTCGTTGGTAGACTAGGCTTCATCTTAATCATAACTTCATTTGAATTTAATTACATCGGCAAAGACCCTGATTATAGTAAAATCTCTTTCTGAGGTTCTTGGTAGGCAAAAATTTGGTAGGTCTACCATTCCATCCAGTCCAGCAGCTCTAAGATCTCCTGTGTTACCTCTCTCCTCTGTGCCCTTCTGACAATCTCTTCAATACTACACCAAGTTAAGCTATAATTCTAAAGAAATTATTTTCATAGTAAGCTGTGAAGCATGTAACAGTCCTCTGTCAGAGTGCCAATTTGTACTTTATCACAAAGATTTTTGCATCTCTCCGCAGCTTACACAAAATTTTGGAGAAAAAAGCACCCTCTGGTTCAGCACTGTTTCCACTAATCCAGACGGAGGCTCCACAGATTCAGATGCTACTTTAACTGTGCTTTATCTGGAATTAAAATTTTTAGATGACTCGGTACCAAACAAAACATCACTTGTACTTATGTTAGAAGATTTTTGTCTGGGCGCCGGTGCACACGCGTGTGGAGGCCAGAGGTAGCGTTAAGCGTCGTTTTCAATGGCTTATTTTTGAGATAGGATCTGTCACTCAGCCTGGAGCTCCCCATGCACCAAGGCTAGCCGGCCAGGGAACTTTGGGGATCCGCCTGTCTCCACCTCCCCAAGGCAGGTTTTGAATTCAGACCTTAGGATCCGTTTCTAGGACCGCTGCGGGAACAGTGAAAGTCAGTCTCTCCTGAGCAGACTCTATCTTGCGTGTTTATTGCGGCGATTAAATGTCAGGACAGACCTCCAACACAGAACTGCGGAATGAGCCAGGGCTTTTGAGTTCCCGCCTCCACCGTCAGGGCGGGAAAGAGCCGGCCGCGCAGGCGCCCCAGGCCGCAGGGCGGAAGGACCCGGAAGGCTCCGCCCCCTAAGGTGTCCGGCGCGCCTGAGCGCCTGGGCCTTCCGCGCCCTCCCCGGACCTCCACATGAGAGCGTCTGCGAGGAAGGCTTACGGCGTCAGGCTTCTCCTTGGCCAGTTCGGGTCCTCAGCCACGCGAGGACCCCGCCCCGCCCCCGCGCCGAGGCTAACTCTCGCCCAGCTGACTGCCTGACGTCTGCACGGTCTCTCCGCGATGCCGCTCTACGAGGGCCTGGGGAGCGGCGGCGAAAAGACGGCGGTCGTGATCGACCTGGGAGAAGCCTTCACCAAGTGAGCGGCCCTGGGGTGGCTGCGGGCCCCAGGGAAGGGCGGGTGGTCGCGGCCCGGCAGCTGTCGGTAGGCCCGCTGGGCAGCCGGGACCTTCCCCCGGCGTTCCCGCAGACCGCCGCCCTCGTTGCCTCGAGGCAAAGCTCGGTCCGCAGTGCCGAGGTGTTGTCCAAGAGGACTCTCGGGCGGATCCGGTGGGCCGAGAGGCCCGGGAAGCTGCGGGAACTGCCCTCGCCCCCGCCTAAGATGATCACGGGCCATCACTGCAGGGTTTGACAGCGATGCCCCGGAGTCGGCTTTCTACCTCTGGCTGGGTCAGATAGGAAAGCAGAGATCGAGTTGTAAGATCTTGTTGTAAGAGATCTTGCTGACTCTTTCCGTCATAAAACATGTATGGAGTGGGGAGCCCTGTGGGTTCTCTGGAAATGGATTGTTCCCCAAGAGTGTAGGAAACCCTGCTCCTAGGAAGACCAGGCACATGAAGACGTGAAACCGTATAGATAAGACTGGAAATCGTGTTGGTTACCTAACCTAAACTCTTAGACCATAGTTTGCACTTTAAAAAAAACACTTTGTAAACACTGGAGTAGTGGTCCTCAAAGATGCAGAGATCTCTTTCAAGGGCAGAGGTGAAAGACACAGATACACAAACCTTAGAACTTTTGGACAGTGTCGGGATTGATGGAGATTTTTGAGGTCTTTGGACCATCCATTTCGGAGGCCCTGTATTGGACTCAAGAGAAAACACAGAATTATATCACATATATGCATATACAAGGTGATGTTAAATTTGAAATACATATTCGGCTCAAGAGAAAACTGACAGAATTACATCATATGCACACACATATATGTATGTATGAGGTAAATTTATTTATGAAATAGAGATGCTTGAATTATTCCTTTACACATCTGTAAGCACTGTCTCACCTCAGTAAATATCAAGTAACTACTGAGTAAATAGCCACAGGAACATACTTAAAAATTGCCCGTTAGCCGGGCGGTGGTGGCGCACGCCTTTAATCCCAGCACTCGGGAGGCAGAGCCAGGCGGATCTCTGTGAGTTTGAGGCCAGCCTGGGCTACCAAGTGAGTTCCAGGAGAGGCGCAAAGCTACACAGAGAAACCCTGTCTCGAAAAAACCAAAAAAAAAAAAAAAAAAAAAATTGCCCCTTAGGAGTTACAGAATTGGATCATACATAGTTCTTGATTATTATTCTCTCATTCTCTACTTGGCCCTCTCATATTCATATTTTATTTTTTTAAAAACAATGTGGTAAGTACTTAGAGATTACTACCTGGAAATAATTATTTTGGCTATACATTGGAAAAATAAATTATTGTGTAGGAATATAATTAAACACATCGTTTAAGAATGATGTCAAGGAGAGCTTAAACTACCCCAGTACGTGTGTCTTGAGGACTTTGAGGAGCACTGTGTGTAAATAACGTGGAGATAAGAATGGAGAAAGAAGCTGGAAAGAGAAGCTGGGTGGTGGTGGTGCGTGCCTTTAGAGGCAGGAGGATCTCTGTGAGTTCGAGGCCAGCCTGGTCTACAGAGTGAGTTCCAGGACAGCCAGGGGTTTAAAAAAAAAAAAAGGAATGGAGAGAGAGAGACAGAGAGAGAGAGATACCTGGGCATAGGAGAACAGTATAAAAAAGTACCCTGGAGAACAAAAGGTGTGATTTAAGGGTAAATTTGCATTATAATCATTTTTACAATTTTTTAAACAAAATTTGTTTTACTAACACAAAAGAGATATGGCACTGGCTACTGATTTTTCTTTTTCTTTTTTGGAAACATGTCTGATGTAGCCCAGGTTGGCCCCAAACTCATGATCCTACTCTCTCTGCCCTCCTAAGTTACTGCATATATGCCCAGTATGCTTGGCTTAAATACTAATTTTTAAAAGGATAGAATATACAGTTTTAAAAAATAACACCTGGGCCAGGGCTGGAGAGATAGCTCAGCAGTTAAGAGCACTGGCTGCTCTTCCAGAGGACCTGGGTTCAATTCCCAGCAACCACATGGAAGCTTGTAGTTGTCTGTAACTCAGGTTCTAAGGACCTGACACCCTCACACAGACATACATGCAGGCAAAATACCAATGAATATAAAATCAAAATAAATAACCAAACCTGGGCCAATGAGATGACTCACCCAGTAAAGGTTCTTGCTGCCAAGTCTGAAAACCTGAGTTAGTCTCAGGACCCAGAGTAGACGGAGAGAACCCACAAGCTGTCTTCTCACCTCCTGTGTCCACTGTATCACAGCCACACACATACACACAATAAAGAAATATTAATAAAAATAATAGCAATGCTATTGTGAATGTAAGCGTGTTTGATTTCACAGTGTATGAAGTTATTGTAACTGTCAGATTCACATAGTTTAAGAAAATAGCCTTGGAGCTGGAGAACTGGCTCAGTGGGTGAGAGCATTTGCTACTCCTGCAGAGGACCTGGGTTCAGGTCCCAGCACCCACATAGTGGCTCACAACCATCCTTAACTCAAGTTCCAGGAAAGCTAATGACTTTTTCTGACCTCTTTGGGCACCAGGCATACATATAGTGCACATACATACACACAGGCAAAATACTCATACACATAAAATAAAAAAAAAAATATATATATATATATATATTTTAAAAAGAACAGTCTTGAGAAGTAGCATGCTAGCAGTTACTTTATTAGCAATAGTACTTTATTATTTATCAATGTTAAAGCTAATAACAGAATTATAAAATTATTTGATAGTGTGTATGTGAATCAGTCATGTGTCATATAGTGAATGACATTTCAGTCAGTGAAAGACCACATATATGATGTCATGGTTTTTCATTAACATGTGGGTTGTCATTGACCAGAGTTTCTTTATTCTGAATGATTGTAGTTCCCGTTATTCTGTGTTTCCATGCATTTAGCTGTACAAATACTTACTCTTTTCTGTGTTTTTATATAGAAAAACACCATTGAGTTAGAGTTGCCTGCAGTATTTAGTATAATAACTTGTTATAAAAGTGTATAGTCTAACAACAGTCACACACAGCTGTGTTTTTAAGTTTATGTAAGTACACTCTTACAATGCTACAGAGTAACTAAATCACCTACCAATGCCCTTCTCATATCCTATCACACTTGAAGGAAGTCACATAGTGTATATGCAGGGTTGTAAAAATAAATGAGACACTGGCTTATTTTGGTGTAACAAACTTGATATACTTTGCTTCTTCCTATAGTGTGTTATCAAATTATCAATAGGTGTTAATATCTTTTTAGATTTTTTCCTGTGACCCTTTAAGTGAGCAGACATATCTCCAGATGTTTTGTGGCCATTGTTTCTCTGGCACATATTTAGAAAGAATGTTATAAGTCGAGTGTTTATTTTCCATTTCTTTGCAGGTGTGGATTTGCGGGAGAAACTGGTCCACGATGTATAATTCCTAGTGTGATAAAAAGAGCTGGCATGTCTAAGGTATCTTTAAAAAAAAAAAAAAACAAACTATGGAGGGGGGCAAGATGGCTCAGTGGATAAAGGTGCTTGTAGAGCAAGCCTGGCAGTTGAGGTCAACCCAGAACCCATGTAAAGGTGGAAAGAGAGAACCAGTTCCACAAAGTTGTCATCTGACCTCCACACAAGTGCTGTGACACTCACGCTCATACATCATGCATGCACGCACGCCCCTGCACACATGCGCAACCCACCCCACACTAATATTAATAAGATGTGCAAATTAGAAAAATATGATTTCAGGAGAATTTTTTGTGAGTTTTTTGTGTGTATGTTTTTGTTTGTTTGTTTGTTTGTTTTGGTTTTTTGTTTTTTGAGACAGGGTTTCTCTGTGTAGCCCTGGCTGTCCTGGATCTCACTCTGTAGACCAGGCTGGCCTCGAACTCACAGAGATCCACCTGCATCTGCCTCCTGAGGGCTAGGATTAAAAAGTCATCACCATCACTGCTGGTTGAGTGTTTTGTTTTTGTTTTTTCAATCAACTTTATTAAGGTCTATCTAATTTTATATGACATGAATTTAATCATGATGTGCAACAGTCATATAATCCAGGGAATGAACCAGGTCTAGAATATTTGAGGAGGCCTTTGCTGTTTTTTGTTTTTAAGATTTATTATTTTTATTTTATGTGTATGTGTGTTTTGCCCTGCACTCATTCAAGTCCACTTCATACATGCAGTGCTCCTAGAGGCCAGAGAGGGTGTCAGATCCTCTGGCACTGCCATTACAGTTGTGAGCTACTTATGTGCTTGCTAAGAACCAAACCTGGGTCCTCTGCAGGAGCAGCCAGTGCTCTTAACTGCTCAGCCTTCTCTCCAGCCTTTTCATGCTTCTTAAGCTGTTCTGAGTTTTTATCATCAGTCATGCCCAGATGTTTTTTTAAAAAAGCTTATAAACACAGCACTGTGTATTCACTTATAAATGTATGTTTCTCTTTCTTACAATTCAAATTGCCATTTTTTTAGCCATTGCCAGTTATTTGGAATTCCTAACACTTTTTGGAGGGAGATTTGTTTTGTTTGGGGTTTTTTTGTTTTTGAGATAAAGTTTTATGTATTTTAGGTTGGCTTTAAACTCTTATGACCTTAAATTGGGATCCTCATGCCGGTTTATAGACATGTGCCACCACAGCGAGTTTTATGTATTTATGCCATGTTTGGGCTCTATATATGCTATGTAGGTCTGCTAATTGAGCTACAGGTGTAGCCCAAGGTTAATTGTTCTTGATATCTATATCATTAATATAAATCCATTTGTTATGAGGAAATATATTAGTTAAAAAAGCATAAAAAGATTGTTTATTAATAAAAGAAATCATTTTAATTTTTTTACAGCCAATCAAAGTTGTCCAGTATAATATCAATACAGAAGAATTATATTCCTACTTAAAGGAATTCATCCACATACTGTATTTCAGGTAAGTTGAAACTTTATTTCAGGGTTGTTTTTCCTAACTTCAGCAGTTAGGTAGATTGTTTTTTTCCTCTAATGCCAGTTGAAGGGATGTTTGGTTATAGCGCATCTGATGCAAAAAAGAAAGTTGAATTCCATTGCCAATTTTGTTTATCTTCAACCTTTTGAAATTTGTAAAATTGTTTTTAAAAGTTTATGTGTGTACATGTGCATGTCTCTAGGCACTTGAGTGTCAGGGCATGTGTATGGAGTCAGTTGTCTCTTTCCACGTGGGTCCCATGGGTCTAACTCGGGCGTGTCAGCAGGTGCCTTCACCCACGGGCCCATCCCACCATCCCTCTCTTCAGCTTTTGGAAAAACATACTTGAAGATTAGAAAATTAAAAACCGTAAGAAAACATTGAAGGCAAATCAAGTGTCCATTAATAAAAGGGTAAATAATGGATATCCATATGGTGAAAGATGCAGTCGTTATTAGGGCTGAGACGCTTTGCTCAGTGGTAGAGCACTTGCTTATTAGCATGCTCAAAGTTCTGCATTCTGTCCTGAGCACCAGGGTGGGTGGGGTGGGGAGTGTTCTGTATCTGTGTGGAGTGATTCAGAAGAGTAAAGTGTATTGAAAAGTGAAAAAAACACTTCAAAGGACAACTATGGATTGTGTATTCCTGCTTAAATGTTCGTACTCCTCTATAAGAGTGAGAAAACAATACAAAGCATTTCTTGTACTTTCCGAACAATAAATTTATTAGACTCTTGTGGTTTTCAAGTTAATGTCTATAGCAACTGGAGTTTTGTGAGCCTTTACTACTTTTGCAAATCTAACAAGAAAATACCTGTCTAATGGCTAATGGTGGTAATGATAATGACTGTAGTTCCTGCTACAGTGCTTGGCATACTCTAAGAACTCAGAACATCATCTTCCTGGAGTAATAAAATGAAGATGTCTTTTTGTCATAAAACATCTTAAGATACGGTAGTACAGTTTATTCTTAAATTGCATTACTTATCAAAAAAGTACAGCTCTTTATTTCCTTTTAAAAACAAAACTATCATTTTTTTCAGGCATCTGTTGGTGAATCCCAGAGACCGCCGGGTTGTGGTTATTGAGTCGGTATTATGTCCTTCCCACTTCAGAGAGACACTTACTCGTGTTCTTTTCAAATATTTTGAGGTACCTATTTTTATTTTTAATGTGTATGTATGTGTACCTGTTGTGTACACGTGTATGTGAGTATCTGTAGAGGCCAGAGGTCCAGTGTTTTCCTTAGTCATTTATCCATCTTATTTTTTCACTTATTTTTGACAGTTTTGAGGTCTTATGAAGCCCAAATTGACCTCAGACTTGCTGTATAGCTGAGGATGACCTTGAACTTTTGGTCCTCCTGCCGTGACCAAGCCTTCATTATCTGCATTGCTTTCAACATCTTCTAAGAGCCTACAGAACAACCCATTTGAGCTCTAAACACTCAGTGGCTTTTCTAGCTCCAAGTTCCAAAGTCCTTCCAGTTCATCACAGCAATACCCTACAAGCCTGCTACCAGCTTCTGTCTTAGTGTGGGTTTCTGTTGCTGTGATGAAACACCATGACGAAGAGCAACTTTGGGGAGGAAAGGCTTTATTTTGTTTACACTTCTAGGTTACAGTTCTTCACTGAGGGAAGTCAGAGCAGGAGCCTGCAGGTGGGAGCTTATTCAGAAGCCATGGAAGGATGCTGCTTACCAGCTTGCTCTCATGACTTGCTCAGCCTACTTATAGAACCCAGGACTTATAGTCCACAGTGAGCTGAATTTATCCATGTATGCACCACCGTGCACCCCCACCCCCACCCCATCAATCATTAAGTTAAAACATGTTCTACAAGCTTGCCTACAGCCTAATCTTATAGAGGCATTTTCCCAATGGGGTTCCCTTTTCCAGGAGACTCTAGCCTGTGTCAGCTTGACATGAAATTAGCCAGCACATGCCTTCACCTCCAAGTGCTAGGATTGACATCTGTTTTTGTGCAGTGCTGGAGATTGAACCCATGGCTTCATGCACACTAAGTAAATACTCCTACCAGCTGAATCACATCCCTAGCCTCTCTACCTTAGTTTTCAAAACAAGATCTCTCATGGATTCAGGTAGCCTGGCTGGCCATGAAGTCCCTGCTGTCTCTTCTCACTGGCATTACAGGAGTGTGCCACTTCGCCCAGCTTTATTTATATGGCTCCTGGGGTGATCTGAGCACTTTCCTGAGGAGACACCTCGCAACTCCTTGAGATACCTATTTATTTATTTATTTATTTGGTTTTTTTGAGACAGGGTTTCTCTTTGTAGTTTTGGTGCCTGTCCCGGATCTCACTCTGTAGACCAGGCTGGCCTCAACTCAAAGAGATCCACCTCTGCCTCCCGAGTGCTGGGATTAAAGGCACGCACCACCACTGCCCAGCCGAGATACCTATTTTTAAATGAAATTTGTAAATTGTTTTTAAGTAGAAAGAAGGCTAAAGGTTAGCTCAGTGGTAGGGCATTTGCCTGGCATGTACATTGTTCATAAAATAAATCTTACTTATTACATTTTAAGGAAATGTTTAAACCAAGTCCGAATTTTATCTCATAAAATGGGAGGTCCCGGGAGTGGGGATTACCTCTTACTTTTAGTAACATTACTTGTAATCTTCATTTTATAAGAGCAGGAACCAGTGATGCTTGCCTGAACTCCCAGGATTTGGGAGGTGGAGGCAGAAGAGTAAAGGCACCTCTGTACATAGTGAATTGGAGGCCAGCCTAGGCTGCTTGAGACCTTGTCTGAGAAAAAAAAGTTGATTACATATAAACATTTATTTATTTTTATTTATATATATATATATAAAGTCAAAACATACTTAATACTAAAAACACCCTGGCGAGGGTGATTGGTTGTCAGTCATTTTGTAAGACAAGTCTGAAGAAACAAGTCCTCTAGCACTGCCCTTCCTGATGCCATGACTCGAATTCACTGCAGTGGAAGATGGCAAAGTAGGAAGGCAGATCAGCTCTTAGCTGAGGGAAAAAGTCTGCGTGTATACTGAAGGATTTCAGTGGCTTTACATTGGTATCCTTATCTTATATGACTAGAATACCTTCTCTGTATAAGTAATAATAATCTGGGGACTGGAGAGATGGCTCAATGGTTAAGAGCATTGACTGCTCTTCCAATTCCCAGCACCCACATGGCAGCTCAAATTGTCTGTAACTCCAGTTCAAAGAGATCTGGCACCCTCACACAGACATACATACAGGTAAAACACCAATGCACATAATTTTTTTTAAATGAAAAAAAAAATACAACTTTTTTATCTGTCATTTGATTATAAAAGACTTTCATATTTTGATCAAATATCTGTGCTATCACCAAATCTAGCAAATTCTCACAGAAAAAAAAGTGTTAGCCGGGCAGTGGTGGCGCACGCCTTTAATCCCAGCACTCGGGAGGCAGAGGCAGGCGGATCTCCGTGAGTTCGAGGCCAGCCTGGTCTCCAAAACAAGTTCCAGGAAAGGCACAAAGCTACACAGAGAAACCCTGTCTCGAAAAACAAAACAAAACAAAAAAAAAAGTGTTAAGGATTTATAGTTTTGCTTTTCAATTTTTACTGTTATGTTATGATAGGATGATGGGATTTTAATTTTTTTTTTTTTTTTTTTTTTTTTTTTGAGACAGCGTTTCTCTGTGGCCTTGGCTATCCTGGAACTTGCTCTGTAGACCAGGCTGGCTTCGAACTCTCAGAGATCTGCCTGCCTCTGCCTCCCAAGTGCTGGAATTCAAGGAATATGCCACCACAACTGGGCTGGTTTTAAATTTCTTCTAAGTTTGTATTATTATTGTGTATATGCACGTGATGATGGATGGCCATGCCACAGTTTCAGTGTGAAGAATAACTTTGGAGTCAGTTCTACTTTTATGTGGGTTCCAGGGGTCAAACTCGGGTCTCTGGGCTTGTGCTCCAAGTGAGTGTTCCTGCTGAACCATTTTTTCAGCCCCTGGTGTTTTAAAAATATAGTTCATAGTGCAAACTTTGCAAATAATGATAATCATTATTTGCCTAGCAGGGCGTGGTAGCATATTCCTATAATCTCAATACATGGGAGGTTGATGTAGGATCAGCAGTTAAGGTTATCCTCAACCACATAGCAAGTTGAAGACCCTGTGAGGACTGTTGATGCACTGCAGTGGGTAGAGGTGCTTGCCCTTAAGTCTGACAACCTGAGGAGTTTATTCAGTCCTCAGGACCTGTATGGTAGAGGGAAAGAACTAATTTCCACAAGTTAGCCTCTGACTTCCACATGTTTGCTACACGTGCATGCATGTGTGCGCTTGCGCGCGCTCTCTCTCCTCTCCTCTCCTCCCCTCCCGTCCCGTCCCCTCCCCTCCCTTCCCCTCCGTCTAAATTTTAAAAGGGAAAGAAAAAGACAGCCTGAGCTACATGAGACTCTTGTCTTAAATAAATTAGAATTGTTTCCTAAAGCTGGGCATAAGAGTGCATGCCTGTGACCCCAGCCCTTGAGAGTGAGCAGGAGGTCACTGCAGTTCACCCACAGCCTGGCTGTTTCACCCTGTTCCCCAAAGGGAAGGAAGGGGCGGGGAGGGTAGAGAGAGGTGGGGAATTCTTTCCAGTATTTTCATATGGATGGCAGAGGCACCAATTTTTTTAGTATCATCTTCCCCTGACTACATTTTTCTGGGCTTTTATCTCTTTCAATATTCAACTTCAAAAAAGGTAGTGTTGATAAAAATGCTTCAGAATTGTCATTTGGAATGAAACAACCTAGTTAAATTACTTCTGTTGATTGTGATATACTTTATTGAGTACATTCATCTAAATCAGAAAGCTAGTTCTTCATTTAACACCAACAGTTTTTGAACAATATAAATCAATGCATTGTACCTATGAATTTTTCCAGGACATTGCAAACGAATCAGACATCTTTAAACACTGAACTCAGCCCTGGTCTCTGCTACTTTGTTTTCCAGGTTCCATCTGTCTTACTTGCTCCAAGTCATCTAATGGCTCTCCTGACACTGGGGATTAATTCTGCTATGGTCCTGGATTGTGGATATAGAGAAAGCCTGGTGCTGCCTGTATCTTTTCATCAATTAGCTCATGTTGTGGGTTTTTTTTTTTCCACTCATTTTAACTAAAGTAATTGGGGTTATAAGAATGATTTTTGTTATTGAAGTATTTTAGATTACTGTGTGTAATACAAGTTAATCATGTGATAAAGTTCATAGACTTGTAAAACTTCAACTTCTTGTAGAAGTTATCCTTATGATTCAGTCTTAGTTTGTGCTCCAGGAGCAGATCTAGTCAATATTATGTTCGGTTTTCAAGATGCATTATCAGCTAATGAGGATAATTAAATTCTAAGAAAGGAAATCATACAAAGAATAATTGGGCAAACTAAAATGAGAAAGTTAAACTAAGAAAAAAATTTTAAATGGTAGAATGAAATTGACCTTCATTATAGAAAAAATGCATTTTTTTCCTATCTGTGGACATTGGATTAATGAGCTAGGGCAGGAAAGGACAAATCTAGGCTGTGCTTCTTCCTTACAGGGTACCACTCAAGTAGCTTACACTCTTGGCCTCAGTTTCCATATCTATAAAATAGTGATGATATCCCATCTCATGGAAATGCTGTGTGTCTTTTAATGTAGGACCTGACATGTAGTTTATATCATCCAATAAGAGACAGCTAATAATTCGGGCTGTCACAGAGTATTACTACTGGTTTTATAAATAGGTATATTCCTTTCGATATAAACTTAAAATATAGATAGACACTTTATAGTATTGTCACAGTGAATGTTGCATTGTTGAAAATGCAGTTAAAGTACATGAACATAAGGCTAGCAGTTTTGAGACCTAGATTTATATGAGAAGAAACGTTTACCTGAGGGAAATAAGAACTAAATTAGGCAGTAGCTTTTCAAATATGAAGTACTTTGTGTTTAGTTCTCAAAACAATCGTGCCATGTAAGTACTATTCTTTTCATAAATGTAAGAAAATTGAAAGTTAGGGTGAGTTTCTATAAGCATTTGGCTAGACTATACACCTGTGTTTGTGTCCGAAACTGACACACTCATCAGTATTCTTTTTCCCTTTATAAGTATTGTACTTACCGAATGTTAACCAAAACAGTGTATGAAGTGAGGCAATAGATGCAGAGTTTGGTCTTGTGTGCTGGCCTTTCAGCTCAGCTAATAGAAATACAGGGTGGGCCATACATGGAATTTAAAAATATCTAAGAAATTCTTATAAATTAAATCAGTAAAGTTAATAGCATACTTTATTTAGCCCAGTATATTAAAAAATATTATTTCTCTGTGTAATCAATATAAAAATTATGATATAATCCAAGTATTTTTTCCTTTATTAAACTTTTGTGAATTTGCCTTGTAACTTGGGCTCTTAAAGATGTCAAAGCTCTGAACAGCTGAATTTTAAGCACTCAACAGGCCTGTATTGCTAGTGGCGTCCTTGTTGGGTGCCTCTGCCCTAATTAATGGATGGTGATATGTGCCTGCCTGTGCACACTGAAGTCTGTTTTCTTTGGTGAACACTATGTAAAAGACTTGCTCCTAACTTTTGTGTAACTTTGAAAATAAGAAGTAATAGCTTACCACCAAGGTTGATTAGAACAGTATGGTAGAGGGTGGTGTAAATACCAAGGAAACATTGTATCTCCTAAGATGGTGATGGCCTTGACTACGCTCTAGATATATGAAGGCATCCCAGTACTGAACTGCTGGGGAGCACTCCCCTTAGGAGGAAAAGCTCTTCACAAGTAAGTTTCTTGGATGTTTTCTCACCAGTGCCACAAAAGCCAATGTTTAGAATCTGATTTTTAATTCATTCTGTTCTCTTTTAGATTTGAATGCATCATCAGATTTTTTTTTTTTGAGATTTATATAATTATAACATTTCACCCTTCCCTTTTCTCCCTCCAGTCCCTACCATCAACTTTCCCTCCTTCAGATTCATGGCCTCTTTTTTCACTATTGTTATTACATATGGGGTGTGTGTGTGTGTGTGTGTGTGTGTGTGTGTGTGTGTGTGTGTATTCCTAAATATAACCTGTTGAGTCCTTGTAATGTTACCTGTATGCATGTTTTCAGGGCTGACCATTTGGCACTGGACAACAACTGGTATGCTCTTCTCTGGGGAAGACCACCTCTCCAGCTCCCAGCTTTCCTCAGTTGCCTGTAGTTCTTTGTGTAGGATTGTGGCCTTGTCCACTTTGGCATGCCCAGTGATACTATCTTTATTCAGCTCACATTTGGGCAGTCCTTTTGTTCAGACTATGGGTGTAGCTTCTGGTATTGCTGAGACACAATCTCCCAGCAAGTCCCTGGTCCTCTGGCTCTTACAATTTCTCTGCCCCTCTTCTGTAGTGCTCCCTGAGCCCAGGTGCAGGAGTGTTTTTTAGGTGTGTCCACTGGGACTGGATGCCACAACTCTACATTTTGATTGGTTGTAGTTTTCTGTAGTGGTCTCTGTCTCTTGCAAAGAGAAGTTTCCTTGTTGAGGGGTGAGGACTACAATTCTATCTGAAGATTCAGAGTCAGGAGCCTCCTATGAGAGAGAACGTTACATTGTTTTTCTGGTTCTGGGTTACCTCACTCAATATGATCTTTTCTAGTTCCATCCATTTACCTGCAAAGTTTATGATTTCATTTTTCTTTACGGCTGAATAGTATTCAGTGTATTTTCTTTACATCTACACTTTATCTAGTATACATTACCACATTTTCATTATCCATTTGTTGGTTAAATTATTTTTCCCTTGTTTACATTCGCTCCACTCCCACCCCCACCCCACCCCCTGAGACAGGGTTTCTCTGTATAACAGTCCTGGCTGTTCTGGAACTCACTCTGTAGACCAGACTGGCCTCGAACTCACAGAGATCCACCTGCCTCTGCCTCCCAAGTGTGCCACCAAGCCTGGTTTATTTCCATTTCCTGGCTGTTGTGAATAGAGCCATAGTGAACATGGCTGAGCAAGTATCTGCGGGCCAGGAAGTGGTATAGCTGGGTCGTATGGTAGATTTATTTTTAGCTTTTTGAGAATTCTGTACACTGATTTCTAGAATGGCTGCTCCACTTGGCAATCCCAGCAACAGTGAAAGAAGGCTCCCTTTTCTCTGCATCCCTACCCACATTCTATGGCAGTTCTTTTGTTGATGTTTGCCATTGTGTCTGGAGTCAGACACAATCTCAGAGTTGTTTGGAATTGCATTTCCTGATTGCTAGGGATGAGGAACAGTTTTTGAGATATTTCTCAGTCATTATTTTCCTTCTTTTGAGAACTCACTGGTCAGGTCCCAGGCCCATTATTTGAATGAGCCATTCAAATGCCTAAATAGTTTTTTGTATGTTCTGGATGTTGCTCCCCAGTAAGAAGTATGTATAGGTGGCAAAGATTCTGTGTGCTCCCTCTTCACCTGGTTGATTCTTTTGCAGTGCAGAAGATTTCTTTTTAAATACAGTCCTACTTGTCGTGTGTTGGCCTTCATTCTTAGGCAAATAGAGTCCTATTCAGGAAGTCCTCTCCTGCACTTCTATCCTGTAGGACACGGCCTGCGTTTTCTTACAGCAGTTTCAGGGTTTGAGGTTTCACGGTTAGGTCTTGGATCCATTTGGAGGTAGTTTTTTTGGCCAGGTGATAGCAGTGGCTCTAATTGCATTCTTCTGCATGTGGACATCCAGTTTTCCCAGCACCATTTGTTGAAGATACTTTTTCCCTCCAGTGTGTTTTTGGCATCTTTGTTGAGTATGAAGTGGCTGAAGTTATGTGTGCTCATGTTGGACTTCAGTTTAGCTCCATTGGTCTAGATGTCTGTTTTTGTGTCAATACTGTATTGTTTTTATTACAGTGGTTCTGTAATCTATCTTAAGATATTGAATTGTAGCCTGGCGTGGTGGTACAGGCCTTTAATCCCAGCACTTGGAAGACAGAGACAGGTGGATCTCTGAGTTAGAGGCCAGCCTGGTCTACAGAGTGAGTTCCAGGACAGCTAGAGCTACATAGTGAAACCCTGTTTCAAAAACCGCACACATACACAAAAGATCTGGAATTGTATCCCTACCGTCCAGCATTGTTCTTTTTGCTCAGGATTGTTTTAGTTATCTTCGCTCTATTGTGGTTCCATATGAATTTTAGGATAGTTTTTTTCTGTTTCTGTGAAGAGTGAGGTAGAGGTTTTTATTGGGATTGCATTGAATCAGTAAAAACTTTTGGTAGAATAGTCATTTTCACACAGTGTTAATACTACCAATCCATGAGCATGGATTTTTGTTCCCATTTTCTAGTGTCTTGTCTTGTCTCTCTCTTCAGAGGTTTAAAGTTTTTGTTGTAGAGGCCCTTCACTTTGGTTGGGTTTATTCCTTGATGTTTTGTTTTCTTTGAGGCTGTTATGAATGGGAGTGTGTCTGTGATCTCCAGTCTGTGTGTTTGTTGTATAGAAAACTAAGTTATGCTTACCATTTCTAGAAGTTTTCTGGTAGCATTTTCAGGATCTCTAATGTATAGTATCATACCATCTGCAAATAGGGATAGTCTGACTTCTTCCTTATTTATATCCCTTTCATTTCCTTCTCTTGCTTTCTTACTCCAACTAGTGCTTCAGGCACAGTGTTGAAAAGGTGTGGAGACAGTGGACAGCCCTGTCTCGTTCCTGAATCAACTGGATTGCTCCAAGCTTTTCTTCATTTAGAACGATGTTGGTTGTGGGTTCTCATATATGGCTCTGTATGTTAAGGTATGTCTCCTCTGTCCCTACGTTCTCTAGGACTTTCATCATGAAGGTATGTTGGGTTTTGTCAAAGGCTTTTTCTGCACCTGTTGAGATGCTCATGTGATCTTTGTCTTTAAGTCCATTTATATGGTTTATTACATTTATTGACTAGCATGTGTTAAGCCACCCCACATTTCAGGCACAAAGCCAACTTGATCATGGTGTATAATCTTTTCAGTGTATGTCAGTATTCTGTTTGCGAATTTTTTTTGAGTATTTTTTTAGTCTACATTCATTAGGGATATTGGCCTGTAGGTTTCTTTTTGTTGTTATATCTTTTTGGTTTTATATCTTTTTATATCTTTCTGGTTTGGGTGTTAGAATGATGCCAGCTTGATAGTCCCTCCCTCCCTCCCTCCTTCCCTCCCTCCCTTTTAGTTTTAGGAAGGACTGATTGTAGATAATCTGACTGTCTGGTAGAATTCTGCTGAAAATCCATCTGGTCCTGGACATGGTGCCCACATTTTCCTGTGCGTTCTTTTCCTCTATGTGTGTGTTCTCCTTTTCTTTTAATTGTTCATGTTCCTTGTTTCTCTGGTGTAGATCCTCAGACTTTATCTTCAAGTCCAGATATTCTGTCTTCTGCTCGGTTCATTCCACCTGAAGGCCTTCCTTTGAGTTTTGTAGTTGGGCTGTTTTTCAGTTCTGTCTTCATTTCAGCTTGAGTCCTCTTCAGTCTTTCTATCTCCTGACAGAATTCTGTTCTCAATCTGGGATGGTCTTCCCCATTTCCCTCAGCCTTATGCTTGTGTTTCTTGGGCGTCACTCGGGTGTTTAATTCTCCAAATTTCATTGAGCTGCTTCTTTGTGTCTTCTTTAAACTCCTTGAATTCTTTGATGAAGTTTGTAATGGTTCTTTTCAGTTCGGTGTCCTGGAGTTCATCTAGGTAATTCTCAATGGCGAGCATTTCTACAAGGCTGGTGGTTTGGAGCAGGGTCACTAGCCTGATCTTTCATATTGTTGGTGTACTTTCAATGAAGTCTGGGAATGTGGACTCCCAGCATTAGTTCAGGCTGAGCCCTCAAGGAAGACTTGGGAAGTGGGGTTGTCGAGTGGGATGGTGGAGGGAGCAAAGAAGGGACCAGGCTAGACCCTGGAGGAGGACGTGGGAAGTCTGGGTATGAGTGGGGTGATTGAATGTATTCCTCTTTTAAAGATAAAGCCATTTTTTTAAGATTTATTTATTTATTATGTATACAGTGTTCTGTTTGCATGTGTCCCTGCAGGCCAGAAGAGGGACCCAGATCTCATTATAGATGGTTGTGAGCCACCATGTGGGTGCTGGGAATTGAACTCAGGACGTCTGGAAGAACAGCCAATGTTCTTAACCTCTGAGCCATCTCTCCAGCCCCAGATAAAGCCATTTTTATGGGTCTAGAGATGTAGCTTCGTTGGCAGAGTGCTTGCCCAGCATGCACAAAGCCCTGGGTTCAATCCCCAGTACCACATGACACCAGGCATGGTGATACACACCTGTAATCTCAGCACCTTGGAGGCAGAGGCAAGGGAGTCACAAGTTCAAGGTCACCCTCAACTACATAGGAAGTTCAGGATCAGCCTGGGCTACAAGAGACTGCCTCAAAACAAACACTTTTATATGAGACATCATGGTTATTAGGTGAAGTTATTAAATAAGAAAAGATTATCAGTTGTGGTCTTTTAATTTCAATATCTTTTTCAAATTTCAGGGAGTTGGAAACTCAGCTGTTGGAACAATGTACTGTTGACACTGGTGCTGCTAAAGGACAGAGCCTTCCCTCAGTGATGGGTAACAACGCGCTGTTTAAATACCTGCTGTAACTTCTCGTCTCGTCTCTGCCCCTCTCCCCAAGTCACTCTGACCCGGCTCCGTTATAAGTCGTTGTTGTTAGTCCCGCTGTGTGTTAGTCGTCTGTTCTAGAACTCTTGGTGTCATCGTTTCCTCCTGAGCTCTCCTCCTTTATTTGAGTATTCTTCCTTGGTTCCTTCTGCTCTTCCTTTCTCTACTAGTGGTTCCATGGGAGACTTGGTTTTGTGTGGTTTGTTTTCTACTGACTTTTCAGTAGATGTCCTCTCTTCCTCTGACTGCAGTCACCTCTGCGTGCTGTTGAGTCTCAGATGGAGCCTGGGTCTCATCCTTCTGAACTTGACACTCATGTATGTTTCCAAAGGATTGTTAGATACAGACTGTGCACGTCTTAAAGCCTCAAAACCGGTACTCCCAGAAGTGAACACGGCATCTCTTCTCTTGTAATTTTTCAGTCATTATTAGATAAAGGTAATAACTTCTCAGGGAAGAGGGGAAGAAGGAAAATGATATAATTATATTTTAATTTTTAAAATGCAATAACGTCTTCAAGGACGGTCAAGGGTACACAGAGGAACCCTGACTCAAACACAAGCAAGGTAATAACATCATCTCTGTTTCTCCTTTTAGAAAACAGGGAGTTAGCAGATCTTTCCCGTTCTTCCTCAGAAAGTCTTCCTTATCTCACCCGTTGTCTGTCTGCCTCCTCCGCTGTCTGTCTCTCGGGAAGCAGGGCCGCTGTACCTCAGCCTCCGCCGTCTGTCTGTCTCTCGGGAGGCAGGGCCGCTGTACCTCAGCCTCCTCCGCTGTCTGTCTCTTGCTGGTTTTCCTGTGGGCCTGTGCTTGACAGCTTTGGTGTGTTTCCTACTGCTGTGAGAGAGAACTGTTCCCTAAATTGCTAAGGAGGTTTGGGGCTCCTGTAGATTAACCCACACGTCATATCTGCCACACATTTCCCATAATCTCATTCTAGTCTCCCTCTTAGCCTTAGCTCTACCTCCTTTACTCCTCATTTCAGCTAGAAATGCAGTCTTCCGGTCACCAAGAGTACCTATTTGTGCAGCCTTCTGTCTTCATCTTAGGTTTTGACCTCAGAGCTGCCTCCCACCCTTACACACACTGCTTAAGATTTTATTCCCGTACATGACCCAGCTGGAATGGCGACTCCTGTAAGGTTTTTCTGGTTTTCCCTAAGCAGAGTAGGTTGTTCCTCTAGTAAACCCTCACAGGACATGTTCCATTTGCTTAACTGTTTCCAACATAGACTTGGAGGGTCCTGGTCTTTTTTTTTTTTTTTTTTGAGAGCATCTGGTGCCAAAAGTATGTTGGAAAGAAAAATATGCACTTTTAGGGGCAGTTAGCCTTGCTTTTCCTCTTTTCTTATAATTCTTTCTTGATGGTTAAGATGATAGTAATTTTCATTTGATTATAGAACTCTAATTAGTTTTTCTTTAGCAAATAAATTTTGTTACTATCTTAGTATATCATTGATGACAGTTACATTATGAAAAATCTCCAAAGATAGTAAGTTAAGTATATCATTCCAGAATGTTTTTTAAAGCTATTACTTTAAACTGACCATAAGCCATGCATGGTAGCATCCACTTGCATTTGAACTAGCCCAGGCAACATATGGAGGCCCTGACTGGGTTAGGGGTGGAGGCTCTAACTATAATGTTAGGAACTCTGCATTCTTGGGATTACTCTCCATAGTAAACCTTCTTTGACTTATTCTAATCTTTCCTGACTATACCCCTCAGAATTCTAATCATTATTACACTTCTGACATTGAGAAGTCAGAAAGACCATTGTTTCCTGAATCTCTCTCAGGGGACGACCAGAGCCATAAACAAATTTAAAGTGCTGTCCCTGAAGTCCTTAGCAAAGCTTAGATGAAATCTTTGGTCTGCTGGAGATCCTCAAATGGATTTTTTTTTTTTTTTTTTTTGATTTTTCGAGACATGGTTTCTCTGTGTAGCTTTGCGCCTTTCCTGAAACTCACTCTGTAGCCCAGGCTGGCCTCGAACTCACAGGGATCTGCCTGGCTCTGCCTCCCGAGTGCTGGGATTAAAGGCGTGTACCACCACCACCCGGCCCTCAAATGGATTTTGAATTAGCCTCTTTCATTTCATTTAGAACCTACTTTTTAAAAAAGAATGAATAATCTCAGCACTCTGGAAACCCGGGTAGATTGTGAGTTCAGGCCTAGCCTGGGTCACGTAGCAAGACCCTGTCTCCATAAATGAGAATCTAAGTACCCTGATTTGGAAAGTGTATAATATAAATTATATATCAAACATGATGCTTTTTGTTCTACTAAAAAGGCTGAAATTAAGTGGACTTTTACAAAGCTGTCATTTCCATTCTTTACTTGGAAAATTTAAACAGTTGTAGTTACTTGCCAAGATTGTCTCCTCTTTTTAAAATAGCATCTAAATCCAACTAAATTAAACCCTTAATTTTCAACCCATCTTTACTTTGACCAACAGCAAACTGCTCTTATCAGCCATTTCTTGGAAGTTCTTTGACGAGTCCTGGAAAGAGGACAGCAGGTGTACAGTGCTGTGTCTATAGCCCTTATTCTCGGGTGGTTGATGCTTTTTTCTTTTGAGACAGAGTTCTCTGTGTTGTTTTGGTGCCTGTCCTGGATCTCGCTCTGTAGACCAGGCTGGCCTCGAACTCACAGAGATCCGCCTGCCTCTGCCTCCCGAGTGCTCGGATTAAGGGTATGTGCCACCACCTCGTGTACCACCACCGCCCAGCTTGGGTTGTTGATCTTACAGTATAGTTCCATCTCTCTCATTTGTTTGTAGACAGGATAAATCTTGGGAACTCTCTTAACTATCCTGAGAAGTAAATTTGAACAGTTTTTTTGTCTGTCCTTTTCTTTGAGGTGAGGCCTCATGTAGTCCAAGTTCTAAACTCACAATATGGCTGAAGTTGTCCTTGACTCCCCTCCTCTAGCCACTAATGCCTGAGTGCTGGAGTACAGATGTGCTGCCACACCTGGATAAATTTAATGTCGAAGAATAGGACTTGTCAACTGTTTGGTTCACACAACAGAAGCACTTTGAACCATGTACCTTTAATATATGTTTATAAACTTGTGTATTACCATGTTATGAACCATAAAGTAAGAAATTGAAAAGAACAAAATTGATGGAAGTAACTCTAACCCTAAAGTTGCCCTTAGGTGGGTTGGTGTGGGGTGCGGGGAGTTAAACCCAAAGCTTTGTCTATACTAAGCATGGGCTCTATCACTGAGTTATGCCCTGGCCTCTTTAGCCACACTTGAAGTTTTAGTTGTGAGCTGTAGCCTTTAGCAGCTGAGCGCTCTCACACCAGCCCACTGAAGTCATGTTAAATACATGTTTTACCCTTTTTCAAGCACAATGTGATTAAATATGCCACTTTTCAAATCACGGGTTAGTGCTTTGAGGCTGTAGTTTTAGATTCAGTTGATTATAAAGAGTTTTCTTCCAGAGAAGATGTAAAGATGCAGGTGGGAATTACAGTGCTACTTGCCCTTTGATCATGATCCAGTTCTTTACCAAAAGCTTCTTTGTTTTTATACACCAATCAGAATACTTTTTGAGAATTGGTTTAGATGGTATTTTATTATATATTGTTTTGAGATAGGGTCTACCATGTAGCCTTGACTAGCCTGGAACTCAACATGTAGACCAGGCTGCCCTCCCCCTTAAAATTGATCCGTCTGCCTGTGTCTCCTAAGTGCTAGGATTAAAGGTGTGAGACACCACACATGGCTAGATTAGAAGACTTTAAGGTTAGAAAGTTGTGTTTCTGTTTCTGCCTCAGGAAATTGACAAATAATCGGTAGCATATCCAAAAGGTTACTTTTTTACTCTCACGTACGTGTGTGTGTGTGTGTGTGTGTGTGTGTGTGTGTGTGTGTGTGTGTGTGTGTGTTTTACTTGTTTGTTTTTGAGGCTAAGTCTTGTTATATAGTCTTAATATGTGGCCCAGGCTGGCCTTGAACTTGGGACAGTCGTCCTGCCTTAGCTTTCCAAGCCACCTTGCCTAGCCTTTTCCTGTTCCTTTAAATGCCATCTTTAGACAGGGTTGGGAGATAGCAGAGGAGACAGCAAAGGGTGCTGGGGGAGTAGTGTGATTAAACTGTACGTTCATGTGTGGAGATGGAGTTCATTACGATCCCATTGTTTTGTACAGCTCATGTATGCTAAGAAAAAAAATCAAATGTACCCTTGACTTTGAAGTAAAAGATTAAAAGATTGTACGTCTTTTTTGTTTGTTTGTTTTTTGTTTTTTGAGACAGGGTTTCTCTGTGTAGCTTTGCGCCTTTCCTGGAACTCACTTGGTAGCCCAGGCTGGCCTCGAACTCACAGAGATCCGCCTGGCTCTGCCTCCCGAGTGCTGGGATTAAAGGCGTGCGCCACCACCGCCCGGCGTATGTACTTCTTTTTAAAAATATGTGCTGGGGGTCAGTTAACAGCAAGATGGCTCGGGATAAAAGCACTTGCTGACCTGAATTGACCTTTGAGAAACCACATGGTAAAAGGAAAAAAATGACTCTTCCAAGTTGTCCTCTGACCGCCACATGTGTGCCATGGCACATGCCTGTCTCCCTGCATATGTGCTGGTTTGTGATGTTACTGGCAGCTATTGTCATATGAAAGATGCAAACTCAGAACTTAACTTTTCTGTAAAATAATAATACCCCGACTGTAAGCCCTGTTGAGGATAGCCAGCAAGGCTCCTTAGGACAAGAGAGACTTCCGTAGTTTCTCTACTGCGTTTGAGGTGATAATTAGTTATGTTTCGTAGTGCTGGGGCCTGACCCATCCTTGTGCGTGCACTGTGCTGCTGAGCCTGTGCTGGCCCTGTTGTAATGTGTCCAAGCTCAAGCCTCCTGGGGTCAGGCTCTCTGCTCTCTCTTCACTTGGAATGATGAGGTTTCTTCCCTAAAAGCAAAGTTGCTTTTTCTGTTAGGCCTTTAAAACGATTGTAGTACTTAAATATTTTTTAATTTTGCTTAAATGAAAAAAAATGGGGAAATGGATAGAATTTAATAGGATTTTTAAAAATTATTATTAAAGTTCCTTAATTCTTAATAAAATTCTTTTTCAGGTTCAGTTCCAGAAGGTATCTTAGAGGATATTAAAGGTAAGCAGAGTTTTCTCTGTCAACATGTGGATCCTCGGGATGAGCTCAGGTTGTAGGCTTGACAGCAGGTGCCCTAACCTTCTGAGCCATCCACTCTCTGGCCCTGAGTTCTCTTTGTCCTTTTCATTCTTTAGTGTTAGTGTGAAGGGCATGAGTTTCTAAAAACACAGATAAAAATATATACAAAATGGAACCAGGTGTGATGGCATGTGCCTGTAATCTCAGCACTTGGGGCAGATACATACATACATACATACATACATACATACATACATACACACACACACATACATCATACATATATATTACATATACACATACATCATACATATGTATTACTTACTTACATACATACATACATACATACATACATACATACATACATACATACATACATAGCAAGTTCCAGGCCAGCTAGGGCCATCCAACACCCTGTCTGGAAAAAAAAAAAAGCAAACAAAAAGCAGCCATGTTACTGAATAGTATGTTCAACAACAGAAACTTATTGTTTTTTAAGATTTATTTATTTTAGTTGTATGAATGTTTTACCTGCATGTATGTATGTGTACCACATGAGTATTTGGTGCCTGTGGAGGTCAGACGGCATCAGACTCCCTGGAAGTGGAGTTAGGATAATAGTGAACCACCCTGTAAGTGCTGGGAACCGATCCTGGTCCTCAAAGAACAGTGTTATTAACTGTTAGTCATCTCTCCAGCCCCCAGCAGAATTTATCTTCAGCTGAATAGTAAACACATTACATAGTTGTAAGTGTGTCTGTAATGTTCTACAATAATCTGGCAAAAGTCATTAGATTTCTTGCATTCAGCACCACTTTTCCTCAGATTTTAAATTTTTACTTGCTCCTATGTCCAAAGGCTTTATTAAGGGTATTTGCAGAAAAAAAGTCTTAAATATTAAATGCAAAAATTAAAAGGCTAGCCAGGTGGTGGTGGCACATGCACTCGGGAGACAGAGGCAGGCAGATCTCTGTGAGTTCGAGGCCAGCCTGGACTCCAGAGTGAGTTCCAAGAAAGGCGCAAAGCTACACAGAGAAACCCTGTCTCAAAAAAAAAAAAAAAAATTAAAAGGCTAGCGTAGCGTGCAGGTGGTATTGCTGGGTGTCCATGCAGGAAGTGACCACTGCAGAAACTCAAGCTAAGGACCAAGTGGAGTTTGTGTCTTCACTAAGATCTTTTGTTAAGGGAACAAAAGAAGAGAAAAATGAATACAGAAAACCTGACGACACATACTGTTTAATTGGAAGAGCTGTCTTCATGGTGCTGCAGTTTCTTTGTATTGTTACATGTCTACAAAGGCCGTCCAATGGCAGAGTAGTTTCTGCAAGGGTATTTTTAGAATGTCGTTTTGTAGGCAACACTCCCGTGGAGAAAGAACCCTGCACCCTGTTCTTGACTGGTCTTTCTTCCTGGGCTCCTCTAATCTCTCTGCCTCCCCCATCCTCTCCCTTTATCTTCCTGGCCCCTCTTGTTTTTCTCTTAAGCTTCATGCTTAAGAGAAAATGTATTAAAATGTCTTTAATAAAATCACAACTGTGGTTAAGAGCACTGGCTGTTCTTCCAGAGGTCCTGAGTTCTGTTGCCAGCACCCACATGGTGGCTCACAACCGTCTACAATAGGACCCAGTGCCCTCTTCTGACACGTAGGCATACATACCGACAGAGCACTCATATACATAAATACATAAATAAATAAATCTTAAAAAAAACCTCAACTGTGCGTCATTAAAAAGCAGTGAAATGATACACGACTTTACAGAAGACGACTATGGAAATTGTACGTTCACGTGAACGGAATTATTCTGAGGTGTAAGCTCCCCATCCCTTTAACAACAAGCAGTAACCAGGGCTCCGTTTCCTCCCTCCTTAGTGCGCACGTGCTTTGTATGTGATCTGAAGCGTGGACTACAGATCCAAGCAGCAAAATTTAATATTGATGGCAACAATGAGGTAAGCCTAGCCATCGTGTCTGTTTTGAAAGATACTTACGTGTTTGCTTATGATTATATATATTTTTTTCTAATGTTTCAGCGTCCCTCCCCACCCCCAAATGTTGACTATCCATTGGATGGAGAGAAGATTTTACATGTGCTTGGATCAATCAGGTTAGACAGTATTATTACGAGCAAAACAATGTGTTACATTTTGGCTCTGAAAAATACTTGTATAAGCCTTTAGGTGAGTGTTGGTTAACAGTAAAATGTTTCTCATGATGCTTCATTTTTTGTAACTTTATTCAGCTTTTTTAAATTTTAAAAATACTTAAAAATATTCTTTCCTGTTCATTAGAATAATTCAGAATTATTTTAATGAAACTAACAGTGTTTTGAAAAGCAACAGGAAATATGTTTTAAAAAGGGTCGGAATCTCTTTTAAGAACCAAGTAGTAACTGTCTTAGACTTTGATGTCCATATAGTCTTTCACCTACTCAGCTCTGCAGATGGAGTGCAAAACTGATGTATACTATGCCCGTGTTCCAAAGAAACTTCATGTGGAGAGTGGCTGGATTTTATTTGTAGTTAGTCATTTGCTCATTTGTGCTCTAAACCTTTGTTTTGGAACCCAGAGACAGGCATGGATCAGCAGTTAAGAACATCAGCGGTTAAGAGCACTGGCTCCTCTTCCAGAAGTCCTGTGTTCAATTCCCAGCACCAGCATGGTAGCTAGGAACCATCTATAGTGGAATCTGATGTCCTCTTCTGGGATAAAGGTGTATATGCAAATAGAGCACTTATATACATAAAATAATTAAGTAAATCTTAAAAAAAAAAAAAAAAGAACACAGAGAAGCCAGGTTCAGTTCCCAGCACGCACATGGCAACTCAGAACTATCTAGAACTCTAGTTTCAGGGTGTCCAGTGTTCTCCTCTGGCCTTGGTGGGTACTTCATGCACATGGTGGACAAACACACATGCAGGCAAAATACCCATACACATAAAATAAGTAAAATTTTAAAACTTTGTTTTCTTAGAATGAACTTATCATTCCAAATAAATTCAAACTTTAGAATCCATTGGTGATTCACATTTTGTTACTCATTTCATTATTTCTCAGATATTGTAATAAAAATTACTGTTAAGGGTTTACATAATTATATTGATAAACATAATTATATTGCTAGCAATGTAATTTTATTTATATCCTAATTTATATATATCCTATGAAATTTGATTATAAATTCCCTCTGTTTTCAGACAGGGCATCACACTGTAACCCAGGCTGACCTCAAACAGTGGTTCTCCTCCTCCCTGAACTTCTTGAGTACAGCTATTGTGAATACATACCTGACTGCCTTAAACATTCCATTTCTAAGATATGATATCAAAAGATGGACTGAAAAACAGTCACCATACTGGATAGCCTTTAAGTGTTAAGGTAACAGAGGGTGAGATGTCAAGAGAATGAACATAAATACATAGAAGTTAAAGATTATAAATTAAAGGACCCATTGGTGTGAAAATGTGGTACTTCTTGGTAGTCTTTTTTTTTTCCAAGATAGGGTTTCTTTGTGTAGCCTTGGTTGTTCTGGAACTTGCTCTGTAGAGCAGGCTGGTCTTGAATTCACAGAGATCCCCTGCCTCTACCTCCCGAGTGCTGGGATCACCCGGCTCTGTTGTTATTTTTATTAAATTATTATTTTAAATTTTCTTTCGATTATTTAGTGGGACCCACAATAAATGAATGCTACCTAGTGAGACCCTACTAAAAGAAACAAAAGCAGAGCTCCGATGTGGTGTGTGTGTTCACTTGGGTGTGTGTCGTTCTGGCTGGTATTTTTCTTGGCCGCCCAGCTTACACAAACCTGAAGAGAGTGGCCTCAGCAGTGCGGGAGTGTCTGCCATGTGATCCAAGTTGAGAGAGTAGGCCAACTCCCAGTAGAGATGGGACATCCGTCCATCTTCTCATTTCTTGGGGTCCTTGTGGCTGCTGGAATCATAGCTTCCCTGTCTCATGCAGCAAGCAAGCAGTCCTAAGAAGGGAAGGGAAAGGAGGAGTGCTGCTTCTCCTCTGTAAGGAGCTTTATAGAACTCCTGTGGGTCGCTCTGTCTGTCTGCGGCTTCCTGTCTACTGTCGGGAGGCTGGGAAACAGGAGTAGTTCAGCTGACGGCAGGGGCACAATCCACCCGGCCCACAAATGGATCTGTGAGCCAGCTGTGCTCACACACCTGTAATCCCAGCAGGTGGGGGGCTGAAGCAGATGGTATGTCATAGGTTCAAGGGCACCTTAGGCTACATAGTGAGTCCCTGTGTTTATGAAGTTTTTTAAAGAGGTTCACTGTTTTGGTTTCTTTTAAATTTTCACATAATTCTAGACTTAGAGATAGTTGAAAAAGGAAATACAGAAGCTGAATATGGTGGTGTACACCTTTAATTCGAGCACTTGGGAGGCAGAGACAGGTGGATCTCTGTGAGTTCAAGGCCAGTCTGGTCTACAGAGTGAGTTCCAAGACAGCCAGGGCTACATTGAGAGACTTTATCTCAAAATTTAAATAAGTAGTAAATTGGTATTGGTATACAGTGTGTGTATAGTTCTGTGTAATTTTATGTGTAGATTTCTGTGATCTACACTTCAACAATAGAGTTTTAAACTATTATGGCCATGAAACTGCCTTGATAAAATTAGTTTCCATTAGGTTATTGTATTATGTGTGATCCATGATCATGTATGATTTGATCATTAGTTTATTTGACTTTGCTTTGATTTCCTATTGTAAATCCCCCATTATTTATTCATGTATTTATTTGTTTTTGCTTTTTTGAGACAGGGTTTCTCTATGTAGCCCTGGCTATCCTGGAACTCTCTTTGTAGACCAGGCTGGCCTTGAACTCACAGAGATCTGCCTGGCTCTGCCTCCCGAGTGCTGGGATAAAAGCATGTGCACCATGTGTGGTGTAAATCTCCTATTTCTTTTTCTTTTTTTTTTTTTTTTTGGTTTTTCGAGACAGGGTTTCTCTGTGTAGCTTTGCGCCTTTCCTGGAACTCACTTGGTAGCCCAGGCTGGCCTCGAACTAAATCTCCTATTTCTTAATGTGCATATGTTTGAAAAATACAAATAAACATGAAATCTTACAAGCTTGATTAAAAAGAACTGCGCCACATAGGAGAAGGAAATACTGCTTAATCTTTTATTAGAAACGGATTACAACAGTGGCTACTGGGTTAGAGCGGGTGAAGGGAAGTGGATCAGAGGGCATAAACTTTGACCATGTAACACGAGGACTATAACTGATAATGTATGTCATATACCGAGAAGTCTGGAGAATAAACTGTAGCTACTCTTACCACAAAAAAGTTAACTGTGGAAGGTGATAGGTAATCATTTCAGTATGAGTGTGTATAGCAAAACATTATGTTGTATGTCTTAAATATGTACAATGAAAAATACTGTTCACCCCAAAGACTTTTCTCATGTTGGCCAAAGTAGGCTTCTGTTAAGTCTCTGTCATGACCTTGCTGCTTCCTGTTTTTAAAACAGGTGTTGCTGTGTAGCCCAGGCTGGCCTACAGTCTGTAGCAGTCCTTCTGCTTACCTTTCTTGTGTGCTGGGGTTACAGGTGTGGGTCACCGTACCCAGCTTTTATTGTAGATTTTTAAGACAAAAAAAAAGTGTGGGCTGCCCCTTGTAGTGGCTCACACCTGAATTCCAGCATGTGGGAGGTAGAGACAAGAGGATAAGGAGTTTGAAGTCAGCTTCAGCTCCATGGAAACGTGCTTCAGAAATCCTTAAAAAACAAAGGGTTTTGTTAGCTTTTACAGAGTACAACCTCTTTTCTGTTGTTATGTTTGAGGAGGGGTAATGAAATCCAAAACATGCAAATCTTACTTCCCCAGGAGCTCACACTGAGGAATGCTTCCTGTGTGCCAAACCTTGTTTGACAAGAGTGTTGCATCCTCCTCTCGACCCCTGGAGGTGGACACTACCATTTTCCCCACTTACGATGAGAAAAGCTTTGTGTTTTGTTAAATGATTCATGAAGGTGATACTGCCACTTAAAAACATGATGTCAGGGTAACTAATGCTTTATTCCACGTCGGGTTGTATGATGCCAATAAAGCGCTCTCTTTTCTTTTTACTCTCATAGAGACTCAGTTGTGGAAATCCTTTTTGAACAAGATAACGAGGAGAAATCTGTCGCCACTTTAATACTGGACTCCCTTTTGCAGGTATTGATAAAGTCTCCCTTCGTTGTAATGGTCCTTCAAAGAAAAAATTGAAGTGTTGGCTTCTGCATTTTTCCTTATCATATACTATTTATAAGAATGAAGTAGTTTTCTAGGCTCTTTATTGTAATTTTTATAGAATATTGTTATCTTTTAAAAATATTTTACTTGCGTTTTTTTTGTTTTGGTTTTGACCTGTAACTCAATATATCATTGGATTTTGGCAATTCTTCAGATTCTTCTGCCTCTTCATCTCGAGTGCTAGGGTTACAGGCATGCACCTCCACACCTGGCTTACATTTTCCTACTTAAACTTCTCTGTGGAGTTTTACAGTTAATGCTGCTAAGCATAGTGGCGGTTGAGTGGCCAAGGCAGTTGAAGAATTCCAGGCCAGCCTGGTTTATATCAAGAATTCGTGCTAGCATGGATCACACAGTAAGACCCTGTATCAAAAAAACGTTTTTCGTAGTATTTTAAAAATATTCATAGGGCCAGAAAGATGGCTCAGCAGATAAGGGTACTTGTCACCAAATCTGATGGCTTACCTTCAACCCCAGGACACACATGGTAGAACCCACTCCTGCAGGTTGTCCTCTGATTTCCACCTGCGTGCTGTAGCATGCCCACACCAACACACGCACACGCACACACATATAAAATACATGAATGTAAAAACCATGTGAAAAACATTTCTAGTTAATGAGTTTGACTTTGGCGCTGAGTGAGATATGGTATCCCAAACCAGGTAATGAGTTTGAACAAAGCAATTTTTTTCAGAGCAGATACCAGACTTGGACCTTGAGTAGCTTTTAGTTCCTCCAAATTCTGTTCTGTATGGTAGTGAATTTTCAAGTGCTTGAGGCATATATATATCTTTGTTGAGTGACTATGCCACTGTAGAACTCCATCTGAAGTACCATCACTGTGGAAAGGTACTGTCTGCCTCTCAGGCACCACTTCCTGAAGAACTAGATCGTTCCTAAGTCTTAGAACTGATGAGGAAGCGCAGTTCTCAGAGGGTCCGAGTGAGGATGATCTGGCACCCCGTGGGCTGCCAGGCTGATCTGACTGGCCAGCAGAGTTCACTTCTTTTCTCCTTTTGAAGCACGGCCTCTGGAAGCTGGGCCAAGAGTGTGACTTTTCAGTAGAGGAGAGGGTCCTCCAGGCAAGGGACATGAACAGCTGTGCTGTCCTGTGACTTTTCAGTAGAGGAGAGGGTCCTCCAGTCAAGGGACATGAACAGCTGTGCTGTCCTGTGACTTTTCAGTAGAGGAGAGGGTCCTCCAGTCAAGGGACATGAACAGCTGTGCTGTCCTGTGAGAACCTCCAGACAGACTCTGAGAGTGAGCTTCCCACCCAGCAACTGGCCTTAGGTATGGGAGTAGAAACATAATACCTTGAAAATTAGGGTTTAAGCCAGATACAGTGTGTACAGTGGTACACACACCTATTATCCTAGCACTCTAAAGGTTGAGAAAGGAGGATTGCAAGTTCAAGGCTAACCCAGGATGTGTGGTGAGTTCCTGGCTGTATTTGGCTATCTGTCTCAAAAAACAAACAAGTTAACAGAGAGAGAGGGGTGGTGGTCAAATATTACATGCTTTCCTTACTTATATGAGAAAAGATAGTTGTTGTTTCATACCCTCTGCCCAACTTACTTATTCTGTCTTGAAATGAGTACACTCATACTACTGCCTCTATGACTTGGAATTTACACTATTTTCAAGTCTAAAACTGTGGGCCAGCTAGATGTCTTAGTGAGTAAAGGCACTTGCCACCAAGCATGATAACCTGAGTTCAAGCCTTAGGACCTCCATAGTAGGACAGAGCCCACTCCTGCAAATTGTCCTCTAATCTCTGCACATGCACTGCACCTATATACTTGTCTGTGTGCATGGGTGTGCATGCTCACACACACACACACAATTTAGAGACTGATGTAGAGGGTAATGCAGAGGCTGAGTGTGGTAGGGCATACCTTTAATCCCAGCACTTGAACAGAGAAACATTACAGTCTCTTGTATTACGGCTGCTGCTGCTGCTGATACTGTATACAGTGTCCATTTCTGTGTAGTAAGTCTACTTAACCAGGATTTATCCAATTAAAAATAATTCTTTTCTTTTTCAATACCAGTGCCCAATAGACACCAGGAAGCAACTGGCAGAGAATTTGGTAGTCATAGGTGGCACATCTATGTTGCCAGGATTTCTCCACAGATTGCTTGCAGAAATACGGTATTTGGTAGAAAAACCAAAATATAAAAAGACACTTGGCACCAAGACCTTCCGAATTCATACTCCACCTGCAAAGGCTAATTGTGTGGCCTGGCTGGGAGGTAAGAACTTAGTCCTGGGTGTTCTCATTAGTAAATGCATCGAAGTAACTGATTCACTATTGAAAACTGCCCATCTCGTAGGTAGAACTGTTAGCTGGGTCATGTACCTGACTAGTGTCCCCTCACAGTTCACCTTCGGAAATAATGTCTGATGTTGGGAACACTTAGCCACAGATGATGCTGAAGATATATTTTCCACTGAGAAATAAACCCACAGTCCAATTACTTAGGAGGCTGAGGCAGGAGGATCAAGAGTTTGAGGCAAGCCTGGGCTACATAATGAATTCCAAGCCAGTCTAAGCTGCAAAGTTAGACCTTTAAATGAACAAATAATTTTCATAAAATGTGACTTTTCTCTAAATTATTTGAATTTTTAGAATTATATGCTTGTTTCTGTTGGCCTTTGCACTGTGATTTTTTTTTTTTAAGTAAACTTCATCCTTAGGGACGGGTCGTGATGTGGTGGCACACGCTTTTAATACCAACACTCTGGAGGTAGAAGCAGGTGGATCTCTTATGAGTTTGAGGACAACATGGTCTACATAATGAGCTCCAGGCCAGCCAGGGCCACATAGGAAAGCCCTGTCTCAAACACTAAGTACACTTCATCCATCTGAAGTCGTCCCTCAGAATAGTGAAAGTGGCGACCGGAGTCTAGAGAGATGCTTGCTGTTACTTAGAGCTCTTGTGTTAATGGGGAAATGGGTTCTTGGCTTCATCCTTGCTCTGTGATGGAGCTCATTGAATGCTCTAGATGGTGTTACTGCTGGATAAGCAGGCAGTCTAATGACTACCTAGAGAAAAACAGTCACATGTATACATTGTACACTGTGTATTTTATGATAGAGCCGGTGTTGAGATCATACATTTAGAGAGGAAAAACAAATGTTAGGATTTTTAAATGAATGCAATACTATTTCTTTTTCAGTATAAAATCTTAAGACTTTTGGGGCTGGAGAGATGGCTCAGTGGTTGAGAGCACTGGCTGCCCTTCCAGAGGACCCAGGTTCAATTCCCAGCACCCACATGGCAGCTTACAACTATCTGTAACTCCAGTTCTAGTGGATCTGACACCTTCACACCATTGCACATAAAATAAAAAGTTAAATAAGTTATATTAAAAAGTATGAAAAAAATCTTAAGACTTTTAAATGATACCTGTTGGGTTTTGCAGTTTTGTTTTACTTAAGTAAATGACATGTAGCCAAGTTGTGACAAAGAAAACTTGGGTCTTTCCTAAAGTTGAAAATCCTTCCACCTCATTCTATTTCACTTCCTTATAGATTTTGTAATTCCGTATTCACTGTAATCTGCAAAAGGTTATTTAAGTTACTTTCAACATAGGAGTTATGGTTGATCCTGTTATTCAAAATCCCAGTGAACTGAAATGGAGAATGTGGTCTGCACTGCTGGATTTGCCGGTCTGTCTTTTCATAGAATGGATGTACGCAGCTTACAGTTTTCTGATATAGCATCTTAGCTATAAAAGTATTCTTGCTACACAGGTGCTGTTTTTGGAGCATTGCAAGATATACTTGGGAGCCGCTCCATTTCAAAGGAATATTATAATCAGACCGGCCGTATACCTGACTGGTGTTCTCTCAACAACCCACCTTTGGAAATGATGTTTGATGTTGGGAAGACGCAGCCACCACTGATGAAAAGAGCATTTTCCACCGAGAAATAAAACTTTGAATAAATTGAGCCTTGCTTTATTTCAAATACTTAATCAATTAGAAATAAATTGTACAAAGTATGTAGGATGCTTTACTATATATAGGTGACTTATGTAACAAAGCATTTCTGTATTTTCTTTTTGCATTAATATATAATTGCTCTCACTTTGTCTCTTGTGTAGTATGATAAAATAGTGGACGCCTGTGAGATATGTTGTATTTATATCAATAAAATAGAGTTAAGCTGTTTGTTCTGGAAGTTTATTGTGTAGTTCTGTTTCCTCCACAGCTCACAGCTGGACTATAGATCCAGTCCATGAACATCAGCCACTGCCAGTTGTTTCAGACTCCTTTTCACTTTTCCTTTTTTTTAATGATGTGTAGGTTTGTGTGTGCATGTGAACACAGGTGCCTCTGGAGACCAGAGGCATCAAGTCCCCTAGAGCTGTGGTCACACTGAGTCACCTGATAGAAGTGCTGGGAACCGAACTCTGGAAGAGCATGTGCTCTTAGCCACCGAGCCATCTCTCCAGCCATAGTTTCAGATACCAGCATGGTCTGTTGTTTAAAATCCTTTGTTTCACGATATGCCCATGAGAGGGTAGGGCTGCTTTTCCAGGCCTGTCTGATCCTTCAGACTGTTTGAGAGCAGGGCCATGCTTTCATTAAGCAGGGTATGGAAATGTGCACTTCTGAATTTCATGTTCAAGAACACGTAATCTCTACATTCCTAAGAAATGTAGTTTGCACTCTTCATAATTGCTTAATAAACATATTTGTTGCAGAATATTTATTCGCACTGACACTCTGAGACTGCTAATAAAGTTTACCTTGAATCAGGGCGGAGTCAGCAATTGGCTGACTGGAATTAGCCATAGAGATTTTGGAGGACCCAGATAGGGGGCCCCAGGAAGATAGAGGGAGGAGCTTAGAGAGATTTGAGGCCTTTTTCGATCTGGAAAGCATGGAGAGTTAGGGTCAGCTGATCATTCCTCTTCCTCTTTGGATCTATGTGGGAGCCTGTTTTCAGGTTCCTCTCCTCATGGCTTTACCCAGCAGATCTGCATAGAGAGGATGATTAGGAACACAGGCCTGAGTGCAGGTGTCTGAGATGGTCTGCACTTAGCTGTGCTGGGGGGTGTTGCTCCACTCCTTGGCATCTCTATAAATACCTTGGGACAGAGACAGGGCTCATTGGAATAGGTTCTAGGCCCTCTTGAGGTTATTCTTTATTTTCTGTTTATCTCCACAATCTAAATCCTTCTATCTAGTATTTCCTGCTGCTCTCACTAAAGAAAACTCTGGGGAGCTGTGGGATTGGTGGGTAAACACCCCGTAGAATGGCACCTTGAATAGGGACTATAGAAAAAGGAAAAAAGGGGGGAACTAAAGACAAATGAACAGGGACTAAAGATAAAGGAAAATAATAGTTTTATTACAGAGTTTTTGGCGAAAGTGCTGAGTCAGGTCCTGCCAGTGGAAAGAAAGGGACATGTCCAGTGTTGTAATGGAATATGAAATATGAATATTAAGGGCAGGGGTTTTTATCCTCGAGAGAAAAGGAAAAAAATGCACAAGAAGAATGTCTGATGCTGCAGTGCAAAAATATCAAAATTTCTATCTTGTATCTCTTAATTTCTATCTGTGAAAAATAAGTATAAGTTATACTGTAGTAATATAGTGTAGGAAAAACTTAGAAATTAAGATCGTGTAGAAAAAATTTAAGATAAGTAAGGCAACTAGACAGAAAAACTTCAGTTTTCTAACTTTGGGGGCTGTGAACTGGGGGGGGGGAATCTTTCTTTGAGCTTTACAGGTAGTAAAAAAGATCAGGCAGAAAAAAAGTTTCCTATGGAAGCTTTTGACCTGGGGACAGCTGAAATGCTAAGTCCAAGAGGCAGGAGAAAGTGATTTCTCCCTGAGGCAAAAATGCAGGTGTAAGAAGCCAAAAAGTTTAAAGTTGAAGTTTTGGGAAAAGTTGGTCTTTCTCTTGGGGAAAAAAAAAATCTTTATCTCAAACTAAAAAACTTGGAAATTTTTTTGGGAAAAATAATCTCTCTAAAAAGCCTTAATCTTTCTCTCTCAGAAGAACAAAAACAAGAATCACCTGTGACTAGCACTTAGGGAAAGCAACAAACCTCTTAAGAGAGCAAAGCCTCTCTAAGTTCTTTCAAGCCAGAAAAATCCTCCCTGCAATGAGGGAGGCAGGGATGGAGTTCCTAAAAACCTCTCTTCTAAGCCTTGTCTCTTCAAGCTAGTAAAAGACAGTGGGTCAAAGTCCCCTGAGGGGAGAGTATGGGTGAAAAGCCATAAAGAGCCCAATAGGGCAGGCAACTTTACCTAGGGAAAGCACAAAAGCTAAGCTTTTCAGTTACAGCTGAGCTGAGGCATCAAGGGTTTTGTTTCTGAGTGAGCGTTTCAGAATGAAAAGGTGCTTCTAATCCCCCTAAGGCAAAGATCCCCTGAAGCAATGCAAACTGTTAGCATTGTATCCTCAATTCTGACCAACAACCGAGAGGCGACTGGCCAGCTTCTCCGAGTTGGAGTGCATTTCGGAGATACTAGGGTTCCTGCAGTTGTAAACTTCCTGGAGTGCACAGCTGAGGCAGGAAGGTGCAGGACCCAGGGGAAAACTGCTAATGAACAAAGTTAAAGCCGGTGGGAACAGCATAGTTATCTGCTTTCCTATAAGTCCCAGGTTGATGGGTCCACAGATGCAAAAAGAAATCTGAAAAAAGCTTTCCTATCAGAGGAAAGATCTTTCTGGGAAAGTAGTAAAGCCAAACTGCGTCTGCAGTTAGTCTGCAGAGTCAGAACGCTGTCTGGGGAAAGAGCCCAGGCAGGGCAGAATGGAAAACTATCCAGGAATAAAGCTTTCTTTTCTATCAGAGAAAGCATCTTTATGAGAGAAGCTTTGTTTCAACTAACGCCCAGTGAGATGAGGGAGTGTAGCCTACGGGGTGATTGCCTCTGGCTTAAGCTCTGTCCTTGAGCACTCAGACAAACAAACGCAACCCACTGGGGAATGGGCCTGATGCGAGCTTAGAGATGGCAAAAACCTCCCTTGCTAAGCTTGATTTATGAATACAAACCTCACAGACCCCGAAAACAGACAAAAAGCCCCGACCTTCAGTAGCAGGAAAAGCTGCCACTGTAGTGTCGGAAAATGTTTCTGGGGCAAAGGGGATAAACTGAGACCAAACTGGGAACTGTCTGGGAGAAAGACTCTCTGAAGAAACGGAGAAGGAATAGATTCCCCCCCCCCCGAAAATGCATGACCTGAAAAAGCTGCTAGAATTTGAGGCAGATTCGGGGGTGTGGGGGGAGCCCCTATCTCCAAAGGCAGCTAGCAGAGGGACAGAGCAGCCTGAGCTATCTGAAGCTCTGCATCTGGGGGAAAAGGAACAAGCAAAATGAAAATAAGATCAGTGGGAGAAAATCTCTCCAAAGGAGCTATGGAAAAGCTCTGTTGTAAATGCTTTTGTTTTTTACTGACTGGCTAAGGCAAACACAAGCCCCGAGGAAAGTTGGTAAAAGGAATGCCTGCCTCAAGGCGCAATAACGAGGCAGGTGCAGTTCTGATTCAGGGCCGGTGACCCATAAAGCAGAGACACCTGTTGAGGCCAGCTCTGAGAACAGAAATCTCCCAATCTCCCGTAGTTGAAAACTTAAAACGCTTGGTTCAAATCTCTTGTTGCAAAAGCAAAAACTTCGTAAGCACGTCCAGTAAAAATACCAGAAATTGACTCCCAGACCCGAAAAGAAATATGGGAAATGAAGTCCGAAAGCTAGCTTGCAATAAAGGACTGATATAAGAGAAATGCAAAGAGAGAGAGAGAGAGAGAGAGAGAGAGAGAGAGAGAGAGAGAGAGAGAGAGAGAGAGAGAGAGAGAAATGCATTCTGGGAAAGGTAGTTTTTCCACTAAAGATGGCAAAATTGCCCTGAAAGACCTTTGTCAGCTCGAAAATACGTTCATGGTAAACTTAAAATACAGCTTTTAAAAGAAAAAGAAGGAAAATCATCTCAGAGTTTGTTGAATGTCAGTTCCAATGAAAAACTGAAAGAATATGGAACTCGGAGATTTGCTGGTTTTTTGGCGCCTTTGTGGAAAATACCTTATTTTCCCTAATAGCTGTGCAAAAAATTTTTGCTAGGAGCTTTACAGTAAGTAGTTCAAAGGAAATTTCACTCTCGTCCTGAAGTGATAAATTTGGGTAAAGGGGACAGCCTCTAACTAGAAACGGTTTGTCAACAAGCCACCTTAAAATTATTAAAACAAGGGAAAGCAGTTTATACACTGAACGTTGTTTTAGATATGAAGAAACTTATGTGAAAATAAAAGTTCTTTGCCTCGAGAACAAACAACCTGCAACCAATGATTCCTTTGCAAATCTAATAAGGAGACAAGGAAACAGGCATTCAAAAAGAAATGACTGCTTTATAGATGGGAACAAACTTCAGAAAATCTAACTGTCTTAAAAAAGTAGTTGCTTCACGTGAAAGTTCCTTATATGGAATCAACGCTAAATATCACAGCTGCTAACAACAATAACATCAAGGGTTAAAGCTAATGAAGTGAAAATACTAAATCATGAAAATTCTCTTTCTTAGAGTAAGATAATGAAGGATATGTTTCATGAAAGAACACCTATGTTCTTGACTCCTCTGAATAGTAGCAGTTTTGGTGAAAATGCTGGGCTAATAAAAATCTATCAGAAATGCCGGGCGGTGGTGGCGCACGCCTTTAATCCCAGCACTCGGGAGGCAGAGCCAGGCGGATCTCTGTGAGTTCGAGGCCAGCCTGGACTACCAAGTGAGTTCCAGGAAAGGCGCAAAGCTACACAGAGAAACCCTGTCTCGAAAAACCAAAAAAAAAAAAAAAAAAAAAAAAAAAAAAAAAAAAAAAATCTATCAGAAACATCAGCATGGTTAAAGAACTCAAGGCAAATATGGCTTTAAAAAATTAAGAAGGGGGAAAATAAGTAGATGTTAATGTTATATGTGAGTTTGTAAAAAAGTATAAATATTGAGTGTTAATCTATTCTTAATGTATATGGTGAAAGAACCTGAGACACAGAAGGTTAGTGTCATAGTAGACTGCAAAGCAGGCAGTCTGAGCGGTTTTCAAAAGTTCCAGAAGCCGCTAAGAAGCTAAGAATGGCGGACGCCAGAACCAGCACAAGGCATCCGCAGCTGAGATCCATAGAAAATCAACACAACACAAAAAAACCTGAGCTAACAACAAAAA